AAAAAAAACCTTGATGCAATGAAAGATATTTTAAATAAATACAAAACGGATGATACAAATCCTGCCAAGTGTCACGGCAGATGAAAATCCTGGATTTACTTTCTGCATCAAACCCACGCTAGGAGACATGCGCTAACGACACAAGTTTGTTAAGTGTAAATGAGGTACGGCAAGTCAACTATTCACTAGAAACAGCTTGGTTAGATCTATGAAGGAAAAGCATAAAAGCAAGACAACAAAACAGCAGAAATTGCATAGCATGACAAATTCCGTAAGCAAAGGGACTTTCCGGTGATAAGGAGAAGCAGCAAATATGCATTGTTCACACCCAAAAAAAAAAGAAAAAATTGCAATACAAATCAATTCAGGTTAGCATGCTAAGAGTAGCATATTTACAGTCAATGGAAATCACATCAGAATGAGGCAGAACTCGAAACAACCACTCATCCTCATTCCAACTTTTGTAGCCAGATACAAAAATCCTATACAATATCACCTGCATGTTGGCTATATATTTCAGCACAAGTCAACAGGCTAAACCAATTAAAGAAATAACAGATACGACCTCCATTCCACTAACGAGGATAGACCAATAATTAAAGTAACCTAAAAGGTCAAACTTTATATGCAATCAATCACACCTCTAAACTTAAACTTGATCAGCTAACTCCATAATCACTAAAAGATCGAGCTAATCACCAAGTTCACCAAAATTTCAACACCGAAATCGCCAACTACATGAAACCTCCACCTAATCTGCCAATATGCATGACAAGTACACACGGCTGAACACGTAATCCAATCGCAAAGACACAGTTTTTAATTGGAAAAACAACTGCATCCACCCCACATTCCCTGTCGATTCAACTCTAAAGTCTAAACACCACTTCCAATGTATCTTACTTAGATTTTAACAGCAAAAGTTCATTCGATCGAACCCCCCCAAGTAAAGAAACATTTACATAGCAAAAACCCAAGTCAAAATCAACCAACCTAAAATGGAGGAAGTTCAAAACCCAGATGCAGGAAGCCCATATCATCAACATTCCACAAAAAAAAAAAAAATAAATAAAATTCAAACATAGAAGCTCTTCAAACGAACCATTAACAAAAACTTAAATAGCAGATTTTCTTCACACATAAACGATCGAATTCGTAACCGAGCCCAAATGGGCTAGAAACAAATAGAGGCGTTGATAGAACGATACCTCGGGACTTTGGAGTTCATCATGGTCCACAGATTCGCCTGCGCAGCTGATGATCTTGAAGCATGATGCACTTGATTTTCCCATTATTCACTCTCTCTGCTCAACTCTCTCTCTCTCTCTCTCTTTTTCTCTCTCTAAAGATACCACCCCATAGCAGCATATGAATGGGCAGTGAAGCTTTTTTAATTTTTCTGATGAGTGTCGTCTTTGAAAATTGAACCAGATAATAGGGGCAATTTTGGAAACCTTGGAACTCAACATCTTTCCTTAAATCTAGTGCATTTTTTGTTCTGGATTCCGGGTATAAGGCGCTGTCCCGTGTATTATATATTTCCTTAAACAAATCTTTTTTAGTTAATTACTTAATTTGAATGCCACCGCATTAAACCCGTGGAGAATTGTCATTTACTTATTACTAGTACGTACCCCGTGCGATACACGGGACAAAGATATTAGATGAGTTATTTTCACAGTCTTGTCCGTTTAAGTCTAAAAAGTAATAATGTTATTATCTACTTTTTACCTTTTTTAATCAACGTTAAATTTAAAAATTTATTAAGCCGCCCTCTGACAAATATGTATGGAGTTATGTGTCTTGTCTCATAAGTCACAAACATTACGAAAATTATTACAAATTATTCATTCAAACTTTTATTCATTGCAAATATATTAAAACAGTTTATATAACAACCATTAAATACCACTTTCAATATATATATAAATAAAAAGTACAAAAAATTTATAGTGTGTTCAAATTTAAATAATTTTTTATGGGCTCAATTTTAAATCATCCAGACATTTGGTCAAATATATAGGTGTTTTCAAATTTAAATCATTGGCATTTTGGTCGGTTGAAATTTAAATCATCTACCATGGTACCGTAATGTGTATTATATATATATATATAATTTTTTAACAAATAATATGTGCTTTATAAAAATAATAATAATAATTTCACAATATTTTTAAACGTAAAATTTGATTTTTAATCACAATAGAAAAATCATGGTAAGTTGTATTGAAAAGGTGTTATGAAATAAAACAATTAATTAAAATAATTAAATAAAATACTTGATGGAAATAGAATGCATTAGTTACCTTTGGCTTTTCTTACTACTAATTCTAGTATACTACTAATTCTAGTATATATAATGTTTTTTTATATAAGTATAGATGACATGCATGTGAAATATTGGACACACATTAATATTCTTTATATTAAATGTTTTTAGTTATTTTTATGTGAAATTAAGGACTTGGAAAATTCAACCAAATAGATATAAGAGGACGATTGGATATATAAAAAGTTTGGTTTTGTTTGCATTTTCTTTTTTTTTTTTTTT